AATATTTATTTCGTCATTTATAAAATTTAAATTTAAAATTTTATTTTAAAAAAATTAAATTTTTTCTACTCAAATTAATAGATTAATGGTATTAAATACGATTTCCCTTGATAATAGAGAAAGAAGGGTTTATAAATGAGGCAACATTTTTTTTTGCTAAAAACTATTTTATTGAGGACAAAGATATGATACCTGAAATTTTGACCATCAAAATAAGAAAAGCTAGTAGTACAAAATTTAGAACAAAATTATTAAAAAAAAACCTACAGAAATTTAGAACAAAATTTACAAAAACACTCGAATGGCACTTTGAAATTTTCAGTACGATATTCATTTTATTCCGCTGACATGGCCTGTTCAGACATCAACCTCCCATTTCCCTTCATTTCAAACTGCCATTTAACAATTGCTTTGGTATTATTTTTGAGAAAAAAAATCACTAATTATAATTGCCTACTTTCTTTAGGTTTTGGACATCAATTAATTTCTTTCAATTAGTTAGGCTTTTACATATATAAAGAGAAAAAAAATTACAAATAAAGCTATTAATTTTATTTTTTATTTAAAAATATTAATTTTATCAATTTTTAAATAAAAATGTTAATTTGAAAAACCCTCTTTGTGAGGAAGTGAAATAGGTTTCTTGAATTGAAAGGCAAAAATACACTCAATAGCTCAAAATTAACCTCTGTCTTAAGCAATAAGAGTTTAATTATAATCTTAATTTGAAAATTCTAAATTTAAACGTTGAAATAACGCAAGGAATTTAAAAAATAAATTATAGTAATTAACGGACATAAAAAAGAAAAATTATCAAACTTGATCACCATTTAGGATTTTATGTCATGGCGTGTCTGAAGGCTTTTAACATTATTTCCCCACAAATCATCATTAGTTTAATAATGGTACTCCAATCAAAATAAAGTATCAAAACTGTGAGCTGCCTGCTGCCGCCTTCCTAGAGCATTCTAGAATGAGAAATATATTAGTAGTACTATTTCTAAAATGCGCAGCTAAATTTAATTTTGTGGATGACAAGTCTCAATCATTCTAAGTGGTAATAAAAGTCCACTTAAAAAAGCAGTATCGCAGCCGCCCAACTCCTCCTTCTCACCGAACTTTCTTTTAAAAGAACCAAAAATAAATAAATAAATAAAGGGGAAGACAAATATTATTACTAGAGCTTTACAAAACGCACCACTGTCTACAATATAGATCAAAATTATTGGAGGGGCAATTAATTAAGAAAAATATCTTTAGAAAAAATTATATAGTAGAGGTTTTCAGAATCATTTAGGGACTAAGATCCATCTTTGACTATGATTGCATTTAAGGTGCATTTACAACATGATGTTTTTTTAAAAGTATACTTATTATAGTTAAATGAATTTTAATTAAAAATTTATACTATAATTTAATAATTATATTAATTATAATATTTTAAACTAATTATTAAATATAATATAGTTTTTATAAAATAATAATAAATTATGAAAAGTAAAAAAATTTTAATACTTTAAAAATAAATTTTTTTAAATAAAATTACTTAAATATGCATAATAATTTTTAATAATTTATTAAAAATATTTTAATTGTTTTTATTATTACTTTTGATATTTTAATTTTTTTAATTTTAAATAAAATACTAAGAAAATTACCATTTTACCTGAACTTTGTGATTCTCTATAATCTTTCGTGCGAAACGTGGCACATAACAAGAGGAGTCAGCCTCCATCCTATACAAATCATGGATAGTGGAAGGGTGGACCCCACGATGCAACAGCTTTAAAGCAAACACGCCGACCGCCGGCGCAACTGTCTGTCTCTATCCGACACGTAACCTTCTCCCACCGCTTCTCTATGACGTACTTCTACTCCACCCACTGTTTATTTTAATTTTGAATTTTTATTTTATTTTATTATCAGTCCACAAAAATGTCAATAATTGAAGATGGATGCCCTTTATCGACACTATTTGTCTATTTGTCAATATGACTTGTTCCCCATGCATCTCATACCATCCATGTCTTTACATGTTTTCATATATATATTTTATTTATTATAATGAATTTAAAATAAATTAAAAATTAAATTTATTTGATAAATAAGTGCGATTTTATATACTAAATTTAGATTTCAATCAACCTTAAATGTTTTAGACGAACTTAGGATATATTATTAAAATTTTAAACTTGATAATATATTATGATTTTATATACTAAATTTAGATTTCAATCAACCTTAAATGTTTTAGACGAACTTAGGATATATTATTAAAATTTTAAATTTGATAATATATTATGATTTTATATTTATAATTTTACTTATCATTATAAATATATCATTATTTTTTTTTCAAAATTTCAAATAAAAAGAATTATCGATATAATCATATGATATTTTGTTATAAACTTATAATATTATATTATATCGTGAAAATGACCTTTTTTTATTAGAATCAACCAAAACATTTAATTAAAAAAAGAATTCTTAATATTTTAAACAAATTATCATAAAAAGTCACTTTCTCTATTTCAACATAATTATTATTTTTATTTTAAATTTATTCAAAAATAATTATTATTTTGATTAATTATCTTATTATAAAAAATTTTACTTTATTTTTTTAATAAAATATAATATAAATAAATATATAAATAGTTTCTAAAATTTTAATTTAAAAAATAAAAAATAATTATTATAAAATAAAAAGTAGTAACTTTTTACCACCCCTTATCTCAAAATATACTCTAAAAAAAATTAAAAGAAGTATATACTTCATGAAAATCATTAGTAAAATTATTAATAAGGAGATGCGAGCACTTATTTTTTTCACAAAGGAATCAAAGGAAATGCATGTTATCTTCCCGGGGGGGCTAACTAAAATAGAAAAATTTTCAGAAAGTGATATCTTTCTTTATAAGCACAGGATACCGTGGAACAAAAGACCACGGGGCCCACGTCGGCTGGAAATAGATGGGCCCCACCATGAGCGGCAGCCGCGCATCCCCACTTCCACTTCAAAGCTCAAAGCTGTAACGTCCACGTGGGACCAGTTCTTGTCTCCTTGGCCCCATCTCTTTCCTCTCTAAATACTTACTATTATTTTATTTTTAAAAAAAATATTTATTCAGAATAATCATTAGATTTTAGAAAATCGCACGAACAACCAATACCACGCAAAGATCGGACGGCCGTATAACACGTGCAATCCGACACGAATCTTGACATGTACCCAGTCAATATGGGAATTAGCTTTCGGTCTCCTGCCTAGAAGAAACCGCCTGTTTTCCGTTACCCTCCTCCTATTGTTTTTGCTTTTTGGTTACTTTTAACCTTGGGTGTATATTAACTAACTAATTAGTTAGTTTTTTTTTTTCCCATAGATTTTATGGAATTTTGTAATTAAACCATCATTTTTATTGACTATATATATATATAAAAACACTATAAGTAACCTATTAAAGAATTTTGAATGAGTATACTAGTAAAGAATGAGAAATTAAAATATATGTAAAAAATCTTATTAATTGATAAAGAATAAAATGTTCAACATAAAGTGATTTAATAATTATATTCTCGAGAGAAGGTATTTGGACATAAAATTCTGGATTTTATACGTAGCCACTACTAACGCCCCTCTCCAAAATGGCAGAAGTTCGAAAAAAAAAAAAAAAACGTTGTTAAAAGAACATCCATAGAGGATGGCCAATAATAATTATGAAATAACTAATGTAATGGGAAAAAGAAATTTACTTTTTCTTTTTTTCTTCAGTACAAGGTGCTTCGAAGTTAATTCACCGACTGTCTTTAAATTAATTTCTCATTAAAAATTTTTAAGCGTACTTTCAGATTAGCATGGGGCACCCTAAGGTTAGTTTA